CCTTGTTAAAGTTCAAATGCGTCTACGCGACCCTGTGGCTGATGAATTATTTTTACCATACAACCTCTCTCCCACAAACCAAACGTCATTAGCCTCTCATCAATCTATCGAAATTTCCATGATAAATGGTAAATGGCAAATGTTCTGTTGTGCTACATATATAGGTTCTACCAGTCCAGACCATCACAGCTAAAGCCAACCATACCACCCACACTGGGACAAATTATCCCCATATCCTTGATATTCCATTGGTAAGGAGTAAGTTCCATTCGGTTAACATCTTCCCAAGAACGGCTTCTTTGCGGAACAAACTCCCAAGAGGATACTTCCCGGATTTCTACAATCTTAACCTCTTCATGTCTCGTGTCAACTGTTATCTTTCTTCCTCATGATTTACACTTCTTAACTCCTCCTCCTATGTTAATGCACCAACCGCATTCAGTAACCTTCTACCTTGAGTGGCTCTTGGGCCTTGGACTAGCTGACATAATAGTAAAAAATCTCATTTTTAAATTACTGTTATAAGAGTATCACCCAACAATGAACAAAATTATAACCAATCTCCTATAACTATCTTATAGGATCAAACCCAGCCGCTCCTTTGTGGATCCGACTTTATGAACTCAAGAGGATGCTTCCCGGGTCTCTAGAATCTTAACCTGTTCATCTAGGATTAACCGTTATTTCCCCTACATATCCCCATAAAGCGTGCCTCTTACTCTATAAATATCGAATGCATCATTGTAAAAAACAATAACAGCCTTTAATTGGTATGGGCCATGGTTAAGAGGGATGTTCAGCGTAGGTTTATTTAGTACCAAAGTGTTGAGAATGTCAAAATTAACCTTTAGTAAAATACAGAGATCAGCAGTCAGGATGAAAATATTTCAACTGCATTGATAAATAAAAACAAATGGCGTCAATATTTGTACAAGAGATCAACATAAAGTCGATGTAAAATAATAACAAAGGAATAAGGAATAGGCTAAAATAAAATTTTCTTTCGGAAAATATTTGAAAACAGATAGGTATAGAAACGAAGGCATATGGATTTTCTAAGCGTAACATAGATGTGGCACAAGGCCGAATGTATGGAGCACCCAGTGAAGATCAGTCGTAATTCATCTAGATAGACCAGATTGCTAAACATTACACCAGAGAAACAAAGATATATATTTGTTTGCATTCGAAGTTCAAATTTGCCGGCAAAGATTGAACTTAGAAAGCTACAAGTTATAAGCAAAGAAACAAACAAACAGACAAAAGTACTATAAAAAGATAACGAAAAAGCAAAAAATAAAGAACGAAGGAAATGAAAAAGAAATTATGAAGGGAATAAACAAGGAAGAAGAAAGAAAAGAAGGAAGAAAGAAAAGAAAAGTATCTAAGTCAAAGAAAACGAGTCAACGGAATCAATGAAAAAGCAAGTAAATTAAAAACAGACTATGAAACAAGTAAACCAGAAGAAAGAAAGAAAGAAAGAAAGAAAGAAAGAAAGAAAGAAAACACTAAGTACTATATAAAGTCAATGAAAGTGTAAAATCAAAAAACAAGAAAGACTCAACACGTAGGCCTACATCAAGTGCGTTTAAGAGGTAGTGCTGCTCTGAGTCAAGAGAGTGGCTGCTAGATGACCCTGTCTGGCAACAGGACCATATCACAGAAGCAGGAGAACCCAGTCATGGCTTTCAGACAATTTTTGCAACCACATCATCCCTTACATCTGGCCACCTAACTCCCCAGATCACAACCCCCTTGATTATTATGAAGGGACTGCAAGAGTCCAACAAAACTCATTGCAATATCAAAGATGAACTAAAGGAACGGTTTATGGCAATATTCAGCAACTTAACTAAGGAGACGTCTAGAAGAGTTGCAGAAGATTCCAAAATGAAGCCAATGCTGATTTTATTGAATAAATTTACTCTCGTCTTTCAGGAATTTTTTTTTTTTTTGTGTGTAATATTGGTAAATATATATGTTAAAATGAGATGTCAGTGTTATTTTCATTTTTGCGTAATTTAGACAAGAATTTATCCATCGCACCCTGTATATCGCGTTATTTATTATCGAAAGTCGAGTCGTCCCAGAGAGCAAGAGGATGTGTGAAAAAAAAATTGAAAATAAGTTAAATTAAATAAAAAGATAACATCAGAAAAGAACGGAAAAGAGAAAAGCCAACGTAAGAAGAAAGGGAACGTTTGCTGATGTGGAGGGCGAAAGAAACGAGTGGAATTCTGCTAAATATAGAAAAGAGTCAAATCTAAACAGAAACAAGGGCGAAAGTGTGGTGAGGTGAGGTAGGAAAGTGAGGTTGATGGAATAGAATTTAAATCAAAGAAGAGAATGTAGAAGTAAAGATATCTATGGCGTCTAGAAGAATATTTTTAAAAAAATGAGGGAGGAATAAAAATAACAGGAATAGCGAAAACAAAGTAGTATTGCTACCATATCTGGACTGAAACTGTTCAATCCTCACTTGCCTGCTTGGATATAGCTGAAAAGCGTCTACACGGCCTTGTGCGTGATGAATTATTTTCCACTCTAGCATACCTTTCCCAAGACCACTTAAATAGTATCAAACCACCCACATTCCTTCCGTATTCCACTCGAACACATCTTTCCGTGAACAACTGCTCCGTGGAATAGGGCCGTAGCAGCCGGGGTGGAGGGACCTTGGCTCCCCCAATTTTTTTACCAATTTTTTTTTTTACAGGATTTTAACAAAACACAATAAAAAAAAAGAAATACAAGAAAGAAAAAAACTATCAAAGAAAGGAGATACTGTAAATTTTAAATGTTCTTGCCGGTAACCATGTTGGCAGATTTTGATATCTCATGGCTAAATTCTGAATTTTTTACCCACCTCCAACTCTGCTACGACTCTGTCAAAGTTATCCGTTAGCTTTCCTTCCTTTCCGTATAAACTACCCCTTAACGTAACCCTCTACCTCAAGTGGCTCCCGGGCCTTTCACTATGTGAAATTAACTGTAAAAAAAAAAGAATCAAATCGTCAGAAGTCTATCGTTACTTTCATCACAAATGCTCTGACGAGCTACATTCTATAGTTCCACCAGTCCTTGCCTTTGCAGACAAGACACGCACATAAGGACGAATCATCCCCCATTCCACTTGTATTTCATTAGTAAGGAGGAAGTTTCAATTGGATAGCTTCCCCGTTAGAATTTTGAACTGGAGTAGAGGTTCATCCATTGTTTTTTGTTTAGTAATGGGTTTCGGGTTCCTTCTAAAATCTACTTCTGCACTGAGCTTCTAATGTCTTTGACTGAATTCTGAAATGTTATTCACAAATTGATACCTTCTAGAGTTAGCTGTCATCTTTCCCTCACAGGCCCAAGAACTTCACTTCTTGTCTTTAATTATGCTAATACAATACCACACAGTAACCTTCTACCTTGTGTGGCTCTTGGGCCCTGTATTAAGCGAACATTTAAAAAAAATAACAGCCGCTCACTGCAGGATGTTTTCCCGATCACTAAAATCTTAACCTCTTCAAGTCTAGGCTCAACCATTATCTATCCTACGTAGCCTCATAAACTGCACTTCCTACCTCCACTTCTTACACTCTTACAACATCATCCAGTAACCTTCTACATTGAGTGGCTCTTTGGCCACGTTCTAGTGGAATATTGGTGTTAAAAATACAGGGATAATATAAAAGAATCAATGGGAAGAGAGTAAGAAGGAAAAAAGGAGATGAAAGGAGACAAATAGAAAAAAGAGGAAAAGGAAAACGATAAAGAAAACGAGGGGAAAAAGAGAGGAGGAAATAAAAAAGGGAGAAAGGAGAAAAAGTAAGAAAAATGTGCGAAGTACGAAAGAGAGAAACAGATACAGAAAACGAAGAAAAGAAAAGAGAAAGGAAAGAAAAGCTAAGAAAAACGAAAAAAGGTGAAAGGTGAAAAATATAAAAAGATGAAGAAAGGATAGAATAAAACGAAAAAAGACGAGACAGAAACATGAAGGAAGAGAAAGAGGAAAGAAGAATGAAAGAATGAAAAACTTGAGAAGAAGAAGAAGAAGAAGAAGAAGAAGAAGAAGAAGAAGAAAGTAATAACGAATGTATAAGAAGCACCCCCGCTCAAAAAATAAATAAAAATATGGTATAAACAAGGAGAAACGGACGTCGATTGGAAACCCAAAAAAAAAGGTTTGGCGGAAGAAAAACAAGAGACGAGGGGGGTGGAGGGAGAAACATGAATCAACGTGAAAGGGAAATCGGGGGCGGTGGAACTGTGTGGGTTTGAGTTGTAGAAGATAAAGCTTACGCATGACTGCATTGGGAAAGGCAAAAATAAAATGGCGCGTGAGAGGCAGAGAAGAAGGAGAAAAAAAAAAGAAATGCTATGTTAATCCACATGCAAGAGAGGAATTCTAAACGAATAACTCGGCTTTAGCAAGCATAAAATATTTCCACAACGAGCACTGCCATCAACATAAGAGGCCGTTAACAACGGTCCACCACCAGCACCAACAGGCCATTGGAGCGATCATCGACCATATAAAGCAGTGTGAATAGTGGAATGTTGAATATACGGCGATATAAGAAACGTGTATTGAGATTTAAAAGAGCTAAAAATAGAAGGAACAAGGATGAAGAATAAAAGAGAAAAGATATGAAAGAAAACAAAAGGCAGACCAAAGGGGTTAGAAGAGAAGCAACGGAAGGACAGTAAAGGAAACTTGAAGAAAAATGGAAAGAACGATAAAAAAGAATGTCATCAACATGTTAAAGAGAGAAAAAGAGGCAGGAAAAAGACTAAAAAGGAACACAAAGGAAGGAAAGAAGAAGAAGAAGAAGAAGAAGAAGAAGAAGAAGAAGAAGAAGAAGAAGAAGAAGAAGAAGGAGGAGGAGGGGGAAGGGCGAATAATGTGTAGAAAAAATTTTAGAAAAATAGGAGAAAGAAGGAAAATTAGGCGGGAAGAAGATAAAAGTAAAAAATCAGAAGAAAGAAAAAAATTTGATGAAAGAATAAGGTTAATAGCAAAGAAAAAGATAAAAAGAAGAAACAGGAAATAAAAGAAGGAAAATAATTCGGAAGAGAAAAAGAAAAAAAGAAGAGAAAAAAAGGAAGGAAATCAGAGGAAAAAGTAAAAAATGAAAAAGGTAGGGGAAGAAGAAAAAGTAGAAAATGAAAGAGAAAGGGGAAGAAGAAGAAGTAGAAAATGTAACAATAAAGGGAAGAAAAAGGTAGAAAATGAAAGAAGGAAGAGGAAGAAAAAATGAAAGAAGAAAGAGGAAGAAAAAAATGAAAGAAGGAAGAGGAAGAAAAAGTACAAAAAGAAAGGAAGGAAAAGAAGAAAAAGTAGAAAATGAAAGAGAATGGGGAAAAAGAAGAAGTAGAAAATGTAACAATAAAGGGAAGAAAAAGGTAGAAAATGAAAGAAGGAAGAGGAAGAAAAAGTAGAAAATGAAAGAGAATGGTGGAAAAGAAGAAGTAGAAAATGTAACAATAAAGGTAGAAAAGGTAGAAAATGAAAGGAGGAGGAGGAAGAAAAAGTATAAAATGAAAATGAAAGGGGAAGAAGAAAAAGTATAAAATGAAACGAAGGAGAAGAAGGAAAAGTAGAAAATGAAATACGAAGGGGAAGAAGGAAAAATAGTAAATAAAAGAGGAAGGGGAAGAAGAAAAAGCAGAAAAAGAAAGAGGAAGGGTAAGAAGAACAAGTAAAAAATGAAGATGAAGGGAAAGCTGAAAAAGGAAGAGGAAAAAGAAAAATTAAAAAATGAAAGAAAAAGTGTGGGAAGAAGAAAATATAGAGAATGAAAGAGAAGGGGAAATGATAATGTCTATAATGAAAGAAGGGAAGACAAAAATGTAGAAAATGGATGATTTAGAAGAAAAAGAGAAAGTAGGAAATGTATGCGGAAGGCCAAGAAGAAAAAATCTAAAATAAATAAAGAAGGGAATTAAAGAAGAAGAAGAAGAAGAAGAAGAAGAAGAAGAAGAAATATGAAAAAGAATCTAAAATCATTCAGTAAACGTAGAACAAAAACATCATAAGAAGAAAAAAGAGACAAAAAGGAAGAAATCTATAGTAATGGTTTTCCATCATCTGTGAACATCATCAGAATATCGAGAGCAAAGTTTCATAACAAATATATTTGATTTTTTTTATATCATTTCACCCCAAGCAAAGCAATAAAGTCCCTAAAACTAAATGGGTTACTCTGTATGAAAGAATAAGAAAAGAAAAGCATTGGTAAGAAGCGAGAACAATAAAAGTAGATAGAAGATAATGATTGACATTGCATTTAAAAATCAAGAAGACGGAAGAGTTTCATAATCGAAAAATGCGAAAAAAGAAACTGTCAGTATAGAACTTACGGTTACATTTAGCTATTTCAACTTTAAAATGATGATACCTAGCTACCAATCAAGTACTGCAGGTAAATTCCTAAAATCTAGATACCATAGAGCTAAGTTCATTAGAACAATTACCATGAAATTATTTATAAAAAAAGTCACAGCGAAACTACGTTACGACGGTGGGAGAGGGACTGAAGCTGAGATGCCAGGTTTGGATTAATAATATGGCAGATTCTTCTTTGGGTTTTATCAAGAATCACTAAATACATACCAGTAGTACAAGGCCATATGTGTCAGCAATATCCGAAGCATAAATGAATGGTAGTCTTATAAATATGTAAGGTAGATTCTAGACAGGAAAATTGTCTAGTACGACATAATGAACCAACATTCCTAGCAGCAGACCTAGCAATTGATACAATTAACCCGAGTAGGTGCAATAAGTCGCTCTCCTGGAGGTTTGCATCAGCCATACTGACGGAAGGCAGAAAGGGGTGTCTCAAATGATTAATGGAAAGAAGTTTTGGAGTCGTTAAAATGAAGAAGACATTCCTTACTCCAGTGAACGGCAGATTTTAGACAAAAATAAATAGATATATCATCAGCATGAATAGCCAGTTAAGAGTTGAAGCCATCGCGAAGGTCATTGATGAAACTTAGGAACACCGTAGGTCTATAGGTAGAGCTCTGGGAGACATCTGCATTAACGTAAAAAGTTTCAGAATAATGGCCATTCAGGGCAAAATGTCGCGATTTGATAAGAAAGATTAAATCAAATCAAAAGAATTATCAACAAAAACTACACTGTCATCCGGGCTACCAAGAGTCCAGAGTTGCGATGCACGACAAGTGGTAGGAGAGGAGGTAAAGAACAAATCAAATAAAAAAGAATGTTGATCAGATTTATTAGGAAAACGACATCTATTTGAGTAAGAAACTGAGTAACGGAAACATTGATTGGGAACGGATGATGATAAAGACTCTACCTTTATATATGTGTGTGTCTGTGTGTGTGTATATATATATATATATATATATATATAGAGAGAGAGAGAGAGAGAGAGAGAGAGACAGACAGAGAGACGAGTAATTCATCGATTCAAGAAGAATCTTCAACAAGCACTAGATGGCCGTTCCATCCTATATGGGACTCACTACCGAGAATCGAACCCGAACCGTCTCGATACAACGCAAGCGTCATGCTGTGATGAAGAAGAAACTGAATAGACTCGATATCACGCCGCTACGGACAAATTTCAAGTTGCTAGACATGCGATTGTGTAGAATTAAGATGATACTGCATATCCGTAAGTGTTTGTGTGTCTGTGTGTGTCTGTGTGTGTTCGTTTGCATGTTTCTATGTCTGTGTCTGTGATTGTGTATGTCGTGTAGATATATATGTTGATTTTTTGCATATTGATTTGGGAAAGTTTTTATGTACACACCATTTGTTTTAGATAAATATACGTTAGATTCTTCAAGAATGGTTTCAGTAAAGGTTGATGATGCAATATAATGTTTTTGTCGTGTGTTTATACTAGGTAATATTGTTATTAGTAGGCCCTCGAAGTACTTTCGACGTAAAGAATTATGTTCTTCCTTAATTAGTGACATTTATAAAATCAAAGTTATGGCAATTTTGTTCCTGCGTATTAGAAGAAAATTTGAATGATTGTTTAAATGTAAACCTCTGCTTTGTTCGTGGATGCAGGCCATTATATCTCGTGATGTCTCTACGAGATAAATTCTTTTACATTGTAAACAATTTGTTTGATAAGTATCGGCATCTGAATTGGTGTTGGATATATTTTTCTTCTTAATTATATCTCCGATTGTCTTGGATGCAGTTGGAAAAATCCTAAGGATTACTAATTTAGTTACAGTTTTTATAGAAAGAGGATTAGTGGGTAGAATTATGAATTTTATGTTGTTGTTATTAAAAGTGCTATTGGAGGAATCTAGTTTTGTGGATTTTGTAAACCCATTTTAAAAAGCGCTGAGGATACATATATATATATATATATATATATATATATATATATATATATATATATATATATATATATATGGGTGTGTGTGTGTGTGTCTGTGTGTGTGTGTCTGTGTGTGTGTGTCCTCAACGCTTTAAAAACGGGCTTACAAAACCTTTAACAAAATATTACAATAAAAATCAAAGAGGAGCAAGCAGGATTATAATAAGATATTATTGGATTTAGGTAATTCAGTAAATGAATTACATTTTTATTCACATATTTTTATGTTATTTAATGTGATTTAATAATTCAATGTATATGTTTGCTAATACGATGGTGTTCGATTAGGAATTCATTCTTTTTGTTTATTTTGTTTTTTGAGACTGATTATTTGGGACTTTTGTTCCAAGCGTACGCGACCATTTTTGCTATGAGCATTGCAATGTTCTTTTTATGATTTCACATTTAATTTTAGTAGAGATGGGTTTTCTCCATCATTGTAGCCTTGTACCAGGCTAGATATATTAAATCCCAGTAAGCACCGAATGTGTGGATTAACGTCATAATATATTAGTAAAGCAGCCTCACAAGTCGTTACGACAGTGTGTAATGAGATCGAACCACATTGGGGAAGAACAATTGTTCGAGTTTAGGAAATACCTCCCCATACATTTTACTCTGTTTTACACTTAAACCCTTTTTCATATTTGGATCAGAAATATCGAGTAAAGTTTTATATTAGACAGTGACCAGAATTTTTTGATATTAATAATGACAGATCTCTGCAGGTCACGAATATATAAAAATTGTTAGATTTTATGAAAGTTAAAAGTGGGGTCTAGTTTGCTATGTATATTCATTTAAAATTGATTCTCCTCCGGAAGCTAAAACAAAATATGCCTATACCACGTGATTTCTTAAATATATATATATATATATATATATTAAAAAAATAAATTCTGGGGTGGGGTGTGGACTGAATCGATAGTAATATACGAAATGTACAGTCCTGATTATGAATTTAAAAACATATTTTTATTTTTTACATTCTAAGTGGAGCCTCTATTAAATTTTACAAAAGTTAATAATTTTTGTTTTGCTTTAGTTTTCTTTTATTCATATTCGTGTTAATTTTATAATAATATAAAATAATTGAAAAAAAATAACTATTCCTGGTCGCAATGTTTATTACCAAACTCTACCGAAATACTTATTTGTCTACTACTCATTGCATGGATTTGTATTAAAATTCTTTCAGTTCTGAGTTACGATTTATTTTTATGCTTAGGAACAATAAAAAATATATTTACAATGTTCTCATCGCCTTATATTTGTCATTATGAAGCAGTTCCTCTTTCAAGCCTTCTTTTAGATAAATCTATGAATAGTCTTTCGTTCTTTTGTATTGTAATCCATGCCAACATTTCTGCACGAGGCCACTGACATCAATGCAAAAAACTCAAGGCTCCATCTTTCTTGAAATATGGTGTCAAATATTTTTCTATTTTGGTACCAAGAGAAAGTACTTCTGAATGACATTCATTCTCTCTCTCTCTCCTCTCTCTCTCTCTCTTTCTGTCTGTCTGTCTCTCTCTCTCTCTCTCAATCTGGACACAAATAGTTCTGTAAGATTGTGGAGGAAACTAGTCTCTCACTACATTCATCGTTAGAAAAAAGTTATGGATCATTGCGTAAATATGTGACAGCTTCTTCATATTTATCTGCTGCATGTTCTTCCTCTGAATGAAATGAATATATGGAGAATAGGTATTAGTAAATCAGATCTATGGAGAATAGGTATTAGTAAATCAGATCTATGGAGAATAGGTATTAGTAAATCAGATCTATGAAGTAGAGCTTTTATAGCTGATAGAAGATTCCTTTTCTACGCTGTGGCGTGTCCCTTCATCATGTGCATGATCAACGTTCCCCACAATTTCTTGTCCTTTGTAGCTATTAACCTTTACCACACTGGAGGGGAAAATTGTCACCGTAATTCTCTCCCTTTGCTGCTCTAGGCGTATTCTGTCGCCTTGAGAATGTTGCTATAAATAAACACTTGCCAGCTGTTATTTCTGGTATTTTAAACTGGAAATCGCCTACTACTGCTTTGGAACGCGGTTAAACTTTTGTTTTCCAACACCATTTTTAATTCTTCTAGACTCTACACGAGGTGTAACACCAATTAAATCCACGTTAAATTTTTTGCGAATTTTTGTAAACAAAAATGGCTGCATCAATATCCAACAAAGCCTTTATTCAGGGGTTTTTGATTTGGACTCCAATGCTGATTTTGAAAGCTTTACTCAAGTAGATATTGACGGTAGTGGTCGAAGATGATAACCACACTAGTGACGTGGAGGAAAGCGATGATGACCACTAGCGGCTACTATCATCCATGGCTGACTAATTTTATGGAAGCTGATGGAGACCATCGATATACATAATAGCTTTTCTGAGGGTGAGTTATTTTGTCTATTTATAAACGACGAAATAATAACTTCATTTGTCAATGAAACAAATAAATATGAGTTAGGTGAAAGAAAGTGCAAACAAATGCTAGTGTCTTCTCGTATGTACATTTGAGAAAATACGTCAATTTTGATAAAATGAAAGCCTTCTTAGCGATTCTATTTCTTATTGCAATCCCAGAACTCAAGAAGGAGTAATAAAAGTTAAAGAACGTTATTTATTTATTTTTTAATGTATTTGTTTTTTTCCTTTCGCGTTTTTTTATTTAGCGTTTCATTTCTTTTTGTTTTCAACGTCAAAA